TACGACTACGACTACGACTACGACTACGACTATACGACTACAACTACGACTACGACTACGACTACGACTACGACTACGACTACGACTACGACTACGACTACGACTACGACTACGACGACTACTACGACAATTACTACTACTACTACTACTACTACTACACTACTACTACTACTCCTACTACTACTACTACTACTACTACTACTACTACCAACGGCTGCTGCACTGCTGCTGCTTATAATGCATAGTCAATCTCCGACTACTTCCAATGCTGCTAGTTTGCCGCAGCTCATAATTTGCGCTACTGTGGGCAGCTCCGTATGAATACGATGAATGAAGAGCTTTCTCTGCTGGTTTCCCTGCAATCCTTTTGCCTCTCACGGCTGGGCACTGTTAAGGCATGGCCTCCTCCCATGGCTTGGGAGCTGAGCACAAGGTCGATCATACCCCCGGCGACCAAAATGAAGTCCAGCCAATTGGCGATGTCCTGCCCCGTGGCTTTGCTCCGGCACGGTCGCGCATGAAATCAATCACACTCAAAGCTGTCCACGCTGTTTTTGCTCACTAAGCAAATCCACGCATTTCAACCCACCCAAACAACTGGTCTCGGCGTGTGTTTGGAAGCTTGGCAAACGTCGTTGTGAAGAACTCTGCTGCACGTGACTCACATGAATCACATGATATACGTCGCTGCTGCCCTTCAAGCTGCAGCCGCTTGAGCGACCATCGTTTGATCTCTGATTTTTCGTTTGTCCGAGTTTGCATCTTCAACTGCTGGGCACGGCTCATTCGGACGGCATGGCAAGTGACGTATTTCCTGATTGCACGACTGGAACCCGAACTGCCTTCACCCATCAACAACATAAACGACAAGAAACTGACCGACCATTCGGGTCACTACTGCGATAGCAAGCGAGAGTAAAGGTTTACGTACTGTATGCATTCATAGAGGTACATGCCCCGGCCGAGTGGCCACGCTGAAGTCCCATCTTCAGGCCTATACTGTGCAACCGAAAGGAACGTGGCCATGCGCCAGTCGTCCTTTAGGAAAACACACCTCTCCAAGCCGATCCGGATCAGGAGCTCCACCAAGAACACGAAGACAAAACTTGGTTCTGAAAACTGCGGTCGTGCTCACAGTGTCTCTGCCATCAAGTCTAGCTGCTAGCTGCTGCGAACTCAACTCACCCAAAGCGTGCAGACAAGGCACATTGTATCTAGGGCAGAAAATATTGGCATCATGCTCTCAAAGCTCTCCCCGTCCGGAAGACCCAACTCCAGAGCCAGCTGCCTCCCCTCAAGCTCTAGTTGCACCATGAGCAGGATGGAGTTCAAGAGGACGAGGCCTCCGGCCACGTGGTCCAAATAGTGCCGGAACTTCTGCAATGCCAACTGACCGCCCGATGGCTTCTTGCTTTGGATCTCTGCGCCTTGGAGCAAATCGTTCATAGTACCTTTTCCTGAGCGGCATGTTGGCAAGGGCAACTGCCCAGCCGGCTTCACTGGCAGTTTCAGGACACACATCTCGCGCAGAATTTCCTAAGCGCCAAATCCCTGGACTTTTCCTGATGTAAAGGCATCTGTCGCGCATCTGCCAGACACACACACACACACACTGCCGCCACGATTCTTTTAGATGACTTGGAGCCACTGGTCTCTTTGCGCCCCTTGCTGCGATGGTGCTTCTTCGGCCCATCCTTGCAAGTTTTTGAGGGTTTGAACGATTTGAGGAGTGCTCATATGAGGAGTCTTGGGGAGGCCAGCAGCAGTGGTGGAACGCAGCAGGATGAGTAGTCGTCATGCCAGTCGCCGCGGAAACGGTGGTACAAGCAGGCAGAATCAGTAGAAAACAAGGACATTGAAGTCGTGTTTGTTGTCGTCCTTGCTTTTGCTTTGCAGATGTGGTAGTATGTGATCCTTGATGGTAGTTGTCTGCATGGCTTCTTTGGAGCTGCTGTCGCGGTTTCGGGCGGTGACGACTTTGACGATGATGATGAAGATGATGATGATGATGATGATTATGATGATGATGACCGTATTGTTGTGGTTGTTGTCGCCTTATCGTCATCGAACCTGATAATACTGTTGTTGGTGGGAGTTGCCGCTCCTTGCTGTTGATGCTAAAGCGCTTGCGGTGGCTGTTGTGCGCACTTGCATGTGGCCGTTCTTTGGATGTGGACGCAGATTTCTTTAGCTGCTGTCGATATGTCCACTGCCACTTTACAAACGCATCTGTTGCTCATGCAATGGTAGCCGCCAAGCCACTATTGCGGCAATAACGCTCCCTACGGGCAGCAGCAACTTTAGCATCACATGCCTTAAACAGAGGCTCAAATTAGGGCATATACAATCCAATACATTGAATGTACCAGACGACATATGCGAAAATGGATGACCCAAATTCCTGAGTAGTAGGATCCTTGTTCTGCGAACCCCCGAAATCAGCAACCCCTGCATGGCATAGATTTCACCATCGTAGCACCTGGGACTCGCCCGTGGTCTGCCTCGGAGATTCTGGCGGTGAAATGTCAGAGATGACAGAGCTCCTGAGGCTTCGAAGCAGATCCGGATTGAGGGGTGGGATTTGACTCTCACACTCGCATCAGCCAGGCCAGGCTGTAGGCTGTGCTTTTGGTTGAAGGGTTGCGGGTCAAGAAGCACTTCTGCTCCAGTGAACACCTTGAATATCTAAAGCCAGGCCGTACCGTGGTGGGAGGCTGGCAAGCTAAACCAAACAACAGCCCGTTACTAAAAACGCAAAGCCTGCAGGCCAGAAGAGTTTCAAGTCTGAGAGACACGTGAACTCTGTACCCGCTGAAGCGATGCATTTCCAATCTGTGTACAGGCATAATACGGGTTGGGTTATCGTATTTATTGATTGTAGCCATTGCCACTGTACTTCCATTATGATTTGTGTTGCTTCCTTTTGCTATTGCTAGTCTTATTCTTCTGCATCTTATGATTTGCAGTGTTACGATTATTATGTTGTTGCTTTGTTCTTGTTATCGATGTTACTGCTGCTGTTGTTACTATTGCAAGTGGTATTGTTGATGTTATTATCACCATTGTTTGTTGCTACTACAAGTACTACTAGTACCAGTATTCTTAACCTACTACTAGCAGAACTTCTCGTAGTACCATGTTCATTATAACTCTTATTCAGCTCCGCTCCACTGCCTGAAAAGAGGGACATACTTATGTAAGAGGCAAATGTTCGTGTGCGACAACAAGCGCTTTCGAAGATCTAGCATAGATCCCTGATGTGAGCGCTTT